ATTCTTGAGTATGTTCTGGTCATTTGTATGACTGCTTCTCAGAATAGGACCGGTAACTTTTGGCATGGGTAGAATTTTTGGTCAATCTCTATTTTCCTGTTTGCTATATATATGTGGGGTGAAATAGACCCGATACAATCTTGTGCTGACATATGAGTTGAAACAGACTCGGGGGTGAAATAGACCCGTTATAGTCTTGTGCTGACATATGAGTTGAAATAGACTCGGGGGTGAAATAGACCCGGTACAGCCTTGTTCTGAAATATGAGTTGAAATAGACTCGGGGGTGAAATAGAACAGGCATAGCCTTGATCTGGCATATATGTATGATTTGGGGTATTTTGGGGAACTCACTAAGCTGTGTGCTTACGGTTTATGTTTATGGTGTCAGGTACTTCCGGTTTGAAAAGGAAGGGCCCGACTTGATCGCACCGCATCTGCCCACGTTTTCCGCATTATGTGATTTTGGGATTTTGTACTCTGATGTTAGTTTACTACGATACACTCTTGGTTGTTTTGACATGATTATTGGACGTTTTAGAATGATCTAAAAATGAATTTTTTTGGGATGTTACAAGGTTCTTCCTAAATCGCATATGGTTCCTGTGCTTTTAGTAGTACGGAACCATAGTACCTTCCACACATATCCGTAGTTGATTCAGGTTGTCCTCCAAAATTCCTAAGTCACTAACTCACTCTAAGCTAGGTGTATCCACAAACACACACCTAAGGGTCCTAAAAGACAACCACTAAGCACCTAGTTACTTATTCTAGATTCCTTCTTGACCACCGCTCCACTATGGAAGAATCCCTGCTAAGCTCACCAATTGCTTTATGTATGCTAATTGTACATAATCCAGGACTCGATAGACGGTCGAATAAATGATTCTACCTGAAGTGTACAATAAAACAAGGATCAGGATGCAAGACGAAACCAAACATTCTAAGGCTATAAAACTGTAATTATGTACAACTGTAAAGCATACGCAAAATAATTAACAATCTTAGTTTCCATTCAAACAAAGCAAGACAAGTAATCTCCAAGGAAAAAGGCATCACAATTCAAGCAACTCTATTATGCACTTCCTGAGAGACCCTTAGCTTATCTCTAACATTCATTTCTATCAGTTCATGCAATAACTCAAATACAACAAAACAAGTATGGGTAGTTTGGGAGATCACTTTCAAGTTCCAGTTGATTGTACATATCGCTTCCTCCTTTCTTGTCTTTTGAAATTCTTTACTGCTTAGAAGGTTTTTAGGAAAAAATTTCTCAGATCCTAGTTTGAGTTTGAATCCCACGATTGTTCGTCCAAATCCCTCAAACCCGGGCTCTTATAGCAACTTGTAACGTCCCATTTTCAAAACACAATTTTCATTTTTAATTAAGGATAAAAATATTGTTCTAAAAACCCCAAGTCAAGAAAAGACAAGTATCAAATACAATCATCCAAAAATATCAGAGTATCAAAACATGCAGAATAATAGAAATTGTGAGTGGACGTGTACAATCAAGCCTTTGCCTTCCCGCGATCATCTAAAGTACTTGAAACACAATATATAAACAACTGTAAGCATGAAGCTTAGTGAGTTCCTCCAAAATATCACATACAAAATATATAACGATACATAGCTGTATCGGATCCATAACAACCTCGGGTCCGTATCGACCCCGAGTCCTTAACGACTCCGCGCCTAGATCGGCTCCATTGGGTCTGTATCAATCCCGATTCTATAGTGACTCCAAGCCGAGATCGGCTCCATGCATATAACCTACAATCATACTAGCATTAGTCATATAGACACATGCACAACGACATCTAGTGTCATAATATATAGTGAGAGCACTAACCTCACAGATAGCACTTAAAACACAATAACTCTCACAAGAAGAAGACTGGTACTATGAAACACCTATTCAACAATAAGGAAGTACCTGCTCAGTCTATACTCCTCAACCTTCTACTTGGACTAAAATTCAACGATGGTCAAAAAGTCAAAACAGTCGGCAATACATCAATTGACACGTCATCAACACCCATAGACCACGTCGTTGCACTACAAGAGAAAACAATTGGCAATACATTAATTCCCACGTCGTGGCAACATCCAGACAAAATGGTCGCGAAAACACCAGTCGCCATGCCGTGGGCACTGTGCACCAATAACCTAATGGATTAAGCTGTTACTCTCAATCCCAACAACTCTAAAGCTCAAATTTGGTTCGCCTCAAGGTCTTGATTGATAAAGTTTCCCACTTTATCATTTGAGACATCCTATTAAGACAATATCTCAAATTCTACGTTCTTAATGACAAAACCAAGGCATGGACTCACTCAATAAGCCATGCAAGCCAACTCTCCAACCAACCCGAAGGTCCAGAAGCTAACAAATGCACTCAAGGGTGGAGTTCACTCAAACTCTAAAAACAAGAAGATTTGGGACCAAAAGCTCATAAAATGACCTAGAACTAGATCTAGAGAAATAATGAGAAAGATAGAGACTCTATACCTCCAATAAGTCAGGAAATGAGATGAATATGTTGGATCTAAGCTGAAACTACACTTCACAATCAACACCAAGAGCTCATTCTTCCTTCAACCTTCACAAGAATGGAGTTCAAGCACTCAAAACACAAATGAAGGCTAGGGTTTTGGATAAGGTTCGTTTCCAAAGAGTGAAAGCTGCCAAATGAGGCAACCCTAGGACTTAGTGCCATTAAATAGGGCACCAATCCCGAAATTTGGGTTTTATGCAGAAAGAGGATGTTACACAATGCACATAGAAAGATGCTCCAAAAATCATTTCAAAACTATGCATAGATTTTCTCAAAAATCAAATAAATATCTCAAAAGAGATTCATGAACACAAAAGGTACCATTGTTACACATAGAAAAAACAAAATCATAATATATGATATTAAACGAAAAACCATCATATAAGAAATCAGTCCAAAATAACATCAACGTAAGCATATGGACTTGTACTCTGGGTAAAGTCACCTTAGCAAAATGTTATGATCCCCACATCTTCAAGATTCAAATGAACTTAATTAGACCTCCATTACAATGCCTATTAAATACCAACTAAAGGATACAAGATGACAAAAATATCCTTCCATTTCAAATTATAGATATGGTAGTAAAAACCCCATATCTAAACTTACATATAAGTTATGGAAGTAGCCTAAGGTCAAAATAAGGAGCCGATACAGAGTTGGAACATTTTTAGGAGATATGTACCAGATATTAGTCGGGATCCATATGCCTTAAAGCCAGCCCGGTCGAGCTAGAGCAAAACACATGAAGAAAAGTACGAAATTTCATTATTAGTCCTTGTAAAATGCTTAAACGACTTCTAACTCTTATGCAACTTCACCAATTGCTTTTAATGGACAAAATAAGTCTTATTATCATTTTTTTTATATAAAATAATCCATATATTACTAAGTGACTTAATTGGTTAAGTACTTAATGTATCAAGACTTGGAAGGCAATCACATATAACACTAATATTACATTTTTTTTATCTTAACCTTCTCATGACTTCAAGGTATTAGTAAACAACGTTCATATGATCTTATGAGGAAATAATTTTCCAAAATAAGACTTTAATCCTCATATCATTTATTTTCCATTCTAAGTCATGCTTATATTTTGTAGTTATATGATTCCAATGTCAACATTTGAAGTTGAGTCGATTTTAATCCATTAAAGTTATAAGGTTACTTCCACTTTCAAATCATGTCATAATACTTTCAGGATTTTAATCCGTTTGAAGTGGTGGTGTTCAATATAACTTAGCTTTTTGTTGTTACCAGTTGAGTTTCGTGGCTTTTGGTTCACATATTTGTGTTTCTCTTCGCATGTGTTGATTTATGTTTTATCTTATCTTATATTATTATTATTATATATATATATATATATATATATATATATATATATATATATATATATATATATATATATATATATATTAAAGTTATGAAAGATTTTAACAGTAAAGTGGCACATTTTTTGTCAATTTTGGTCCTCCAACTTACAACATTGACCCTTCATCTTTATGCTTTTGTTCACAAACAACCCTCCAACTTACAATAGTGACGGTTTGCCGGTCACTTTATCCCCACACCTGTAGGTAATCGATTCTTCCAGTTTCTTCCTTCCACCGTTCCTTATCCAATCCTTCCATTCTTTTTCCTCTTTTTTTGGATAATGTTCATCGCCACAGCCATCCAACAAGAATTAGTGCTCCACCAAATTGAGGTTAAACAGATGAATAAATCATTCATCTGTTTATTGAAGCATCTGGGATGAAGATATCCGCTCTCCACCGTGTGCCGTCGCCCCCCATGTGAAACCTTCGACCGGTGACCTTCGCACCCTACAGTTACAGGTTCTTCCTTCCACCGACCTTCACACCCTACATTTACAGGTTCGTTTTTCTTCAACTTTTTTATGTTTTCGTTTGACGATGTCTCACCTCCCCCTTCTACATAGCTCTTGCTCGATCGAGTTGTTCCGACAGCGCAGATGTTTCCACTCTACCACACCACCGACTTCATGTTTGTTCTTTGCTTCCATATGTTTCGTTCATTCACCACCTTCTTGATGAATTTGTACATCTAAACCGTTCATACAGTCCAGTCGATCATTTGGTAAGGTTTCGATTTTCAATTTTCACCATCCTTCTCGGCTTCTTCTTTTCTTTATCTTTTTCTATAGTTTGATTGATTAGTTTTTTGAATGATACAAAATCGAGTATATGAGATTTGATTGTACCTCTTAGGATGCACACCAATTGCTCGATAAAATGCTTGAAGCAAGTTTTTCAAATTTTTTTATCAGATGATAACAACCATAGGCATGGGGACGGGATTGTTAGGGAGTGATGCAAAGGGTTAAAGATCAGCAACTTTCAACATCTACAAAACCAGCAACCATTGTAATTGCACCCTAAGTGTTCATTAAAATGCACAGGTTAGTTATTATTTTCATTGTATGTCCAAGCCAAAAACATATGCTGAACTGTGTACAAAAAACTTCATTTCAGTACTTGAAGATTTGATTCCCTTTTATTGTAAGCTCTTGGATCCAACCAACCTTACAAATCTTTTCCCTGTCACCAAGTTCCTTGGATTGTTAGCTACTGGAACTACAGGTTATTTTCTCAATGATTTGCAGCCTCAAATCAAATATTTTTGTGTAAGGCAAGAATAATAACTAATAAATAATGTTTTGTACATATTTTCAGCTGATGCAAAGACATTGGTTCCACAGGCAAGAAATGAAGCAGCTGAGTTTCGTTGTAAATATGGCTATGAGATGGCTGTTTATGTATTAGCAAGATGGTATTAATCCTACAGTTTTTTTGAGTTTCGTTTATCAGATTATGTCATATCATTTTTTATGTTGATAAATCTATATGTTGCAGGATTGCTGACAAATCACAAGTTTATACTCAACATGCTTACATGAGACCACTTGGAGTAGGTTAGTTTCTAGATGTGAAGTTGTTATTAGTTGCTTATTTTTGTGAATGTGCATTATTTTATTGATTTGTTTGAACTTCAGTGGCTATGGTGTTGGGTATTGATGATGAGAATGGGTCTAAACTCTTCAAATGTGATCCAACAGGTCACTTCTTTGGACATTAGGTGTGTGGAATTTTGTAATGGATTTAGAAAAAGATATAAATTTGTTATCTGATGTAGTTTTTGAATTTTGTTTGTAGGCAACAAGTGTTCCATTGAAAGAGCAAGAGGCTATTAATTTCCTTTAGAAGAAATGGAAAAATGACACCCTCAATTTACTTATGATGAAACTGTACAGGTGAATTACTAGACTTTCTTTGAGTTGCAACTATTGTGTAATTGTATTTAACATTGACATATGCTTGATGCATCCCATGTTTGACTGTAGACTGCAATTTCTGCTTTGCAATGATGCAATCTGTTCTACAAGAAGACTTCAAGGCCAATGAGATTGAGGTATGCCAAAGAAAAAAAAATCAAATTCTGTTCAAAAAAATAAAAGAAAATGATTTTTTACACATGTTATTTGGTATGTTTTCTGGTAGGTTGGAATTGTGAGAAAAGAGAAAGCAAACGATAGTGTCGAGATTTTGTGAGAGCACGTGATCCGGTGTTGTACGCGTGACCAATGATCGGTGAGTTTTTGTTTTGTTTTGCTTTTTTTTTTGTTTTTTTGTTTTTGTGTATGTGTGTAGATTATGCATATGGGTCACCAATCTAATATTTTGTTTAAACCATCAATGTCGGGGTTAGGGTTATAAAAGATCTTTATCTTTTTGGAGATGTTGATGAGCAATGACGAAACTGTTGTTTTATAAATACTATTTCAGCAAAACGTGTGAATGAAGGTACAAACTTGCAATGCATAACAACATAAAGTATATATTTAAAGCTGCTTATTTATTGTTTTGGCATTATTAATTTGTGACTAAACTACCCCTATGTAAAGTTATTTTGTTCATATTACAATTTTGCTGAAAATCCTGTCGCATCCGACCCCCGCAACGCGGGGGTTCCCCACCTAGTTGTTGTTATTATTATTATTACTTTTAATTTTGTATTCTTTAATATTTTAACAAGGGTAACCAAAATATTATGATTCGGTGATCGTGGACCCAAACCTTCTAGATATATATAGAATGAGTGAACTTTTTTGAAAATTCAATTTTTACTTATTATATAATAAATATAGAAATTCATGTTTTAATTATGCTTACTTTATAAAATTAAACAAATATTTAAATGTTATTATTATTATATAAATGATACTTGCTGGTTGATAAGTCACATATACGACAATATCTTTGTAATACAATTTATTAAACAAGATCATGTATAACACATTTAAAGGTTATAACTATTTTAGAAGATAATTTCATTTGATGGTTGATGTAATGTTATATATGATTTAGGGGATATTTATAGAACCAAATAATTTAATGGTGGCTGATTCTAAATTTTTTGATGGTTTGTTCAGGGATTATCAAACAACCATTTAATAGTTAATCATAAAATTATACTTGAATTGATCCTAAAAACAGAATAATATTATAAACGACCACTCAGGAATGATGAAACATAAGTAGTTTATTTTATTACAAAAATAATAGATTGTTAAATATTATCAAGAGACATGTTAAAAAATTTGGTTATCTTTGGTTACTTTTTTTTTTCTTCTCTTATCCTTAACTTTTACAACAACAAAACCCAAAATTCTATAAATAATATCCAAGTATTGATACATATGTATGTATTATCCTCCTTAATAAATAATTTTTTTTTCCTAAATGTCACACTCTCATTGATTTTGCCACATGTCATTTTGTGGTTACTTTCAATTAATTTTTTTCCACATGGTATGGTTTTTTTCATTTTACTAATTTCCACATAATATTTAAATGTAATAATTGCAATAAATATAATAATAAATACATATCAATTTCATTAATAAACTTTCTTCTAATTTCAAAATTTCTAAATTAAAGTTTCATTAGTTTCATTTGTTTATTTATCTAAATTATTAGTTTAATTTAAAAGAAAAACAAACAATTTAATTTTAATAATTTAATATTTTTCTATTTTTTCTTACAAATTCAAACTTCTCAAATATTTAGAATTTCAATTTTTTTCTTTAAAATGTACCCATATAATACATGGATCTTATACCTAATTATATTAATATATTATCGGATACAAGATAAAAGTGACCAAAGCTTGTCAATGCAAACTCTCTTCAGGATCTTGAAAGAACCCTTAGCTTGTATGTTTCTAGTTTTTGTCATACAACTATTATCATATTTTTAATGATTATGCTTCTTCACAATTTGTTTCTTATTTATTTATTTATTTATTTTAAATTCTTTGACGAAGCCAATAAAAAAAACTAGAAAAGAATCGGGTGAATCGGGTCTTAAGACCACTTGTTATAATTAGAGTAAATTACACGAATAGTCCCTATGGATTGGGGTAATTTGTACGTTTGGTTCATAACTTATTTTTGTAACTTGAAAGGTCGTTATTGTTTGTTTTTGTTACATGTTTTGTCCCTGTCTTACCTAAAAAGACTATTTTTGCCCTTGCTTTTTTAATTTATTTAAATAAACACACCTCTAAACCCACCTCCACCACACCTTACCTTACCTATCCCACATTATTTAAATAAATTAAAAAGTCAAAGGCACAATAGTCTTTTTAGGTAAGACAGAGACCAAGCGTGCAATAAAAACAAATAGTAGAAACATTGTAAGTTAAAAAAATAAGTTTAAGACCAAACGTTTAATTTACCCCAAACCATAGGGACCATTTGTGTAATTTACTCTTATAATTATTGATCCCACTATTCTCTTTGCCAATGTTGGTTCTAAAATGCTTCTTTATTATTTATCATTTTCATACCTTATATACCAATACAGAATTACTTGCACTTGGTTCTAAACGAAATATCCATTTTTCTAAATCACCAGATAACCTTATGTATGCTATAATTAAATTTAAATGAGCACATTGGCTCTATGTATGATTGCATGATAAAGTCTATTGTAACACTAGGTTACAACCCGTAGGAACCACGGGTAAAAAATTTATAACACTAGGTTACAACCCGTAGGAACCACGGGTAAAAAATTTATAAAACATTTATATTATTAATAAGAGTTAAGTTTGTTTAAAACTTTTTGTACTGATTATTTAAAATTAATATATATTTATAAAAAATAATATAAATTTGAGTATATTATAATTATAAATGATTTATAAAACACAATATAAATTCCAATCGATTAAAACGATGATTAAAGATGTTTCAAGTATATATAGAACCGAATACGATTAAAAGGAGCAAATAAATCAAATTAATTGCAATTTATATCATACCTTATATATCATCATACATTAATACAAAATTGGAGGACTGAATCGGGTATATATTTCAAACGTATCACATTAAATTTAAATATAGATCATATACCATAAATACCATAAAAATCAGATATTAAATGCTGATTTATTTTGACCTGGACATTATAGAAGGTGAAATCAAAGAGGGGCAAAAACGGTATTTAACATTGGATGAAATTAGTGTTTTTGAAGGGACACGTGACAATTTACTTTCGTTTATTAGTTAGGGAGATGGTATGCACTAAAATTTCTTTTAAAGCAAAGGTAACACTATAGGCAGTGGCTCGACAATTGGTGGCGTGGACTCGGCAAGGCTATAAGAGGATAGGAGAGTATCAAAATTTCAATAATTTAAAACTATTTCTACATTCAAAAATATATCTGTGTTTTTCATTAAAATTTTAAAATTTTAACCTTCATTCAACCACTATTTAAATAATAACAACTATCCAATTTTATATCATACAATAACCTTCAATATTCTCCATATTTCACTCAAATATTCTTCGTATTTGGTAAAAATAGTTTCCTCTAATTTTCCATCCAACCCAAAAACTCCAAGAAAAAACAAGAAAAATACCCAAAATACCACTTCAAACCCTTCGTCACCCATCTTCTACCAAACTCAAATGGATCACCCTATTCAAAATCATACATGAGTGGTTCTAAAAGAACCAAAATATTCGAACCCATTCATAGGCAATTGTCGGATGTACAAGTCGGGGGTAGACCTCAACATAAATGAACCTATTGAGGTTCCAATATCTACTGTGTAACAAATGGCAAAAATGGGTCACCCATCTTCTACCAAACTCAAATGGATCACCCTATTCAAAATCATACATGGGTGGCTCTAAAAGAACCAAAATATTTGAACCCACTCATAGCCAATTGTTGCGCAAGTCGGTGTGTAACAAATGACAAAAATGAGTCAAAGTTCGCCAGTCAAACCACCGTGAACTCTCTTGTAATAGGACATATTGTACAGTATTCCTTGTTTTTTTAATGCAAATGAAGTTATTACACTTAGAATTGCAAGCAAAATACTCTTTTTGTCTCCAACTGATGTTGAATGCTAAAGAACGAAACTTTATTCACAAAAATAAGTACTATTTATTGCGTTAAAAATAAAATTTAAGCGTTGAGTATACTTAGTAACAAATGATAACCAAATTGAATGGAACATGTTAGGAAATCAAATGATACTTGTCAAGACTCAGAACAGATCTAATGTCACTTGCCAAGCTTTGATACCACTTGTTAGGAAGTAAAACGGATAACTAGCAAAACCAAAAACACACATGACATAATATTTATGTGGTCCGTCAAGTTGACATACATCCACAGGCAGGAGGGGAGTATTCTTTATTTCTGAGTTCTCAAACAAAGGTTACAAGTACAATTTTCATAGAGATTCTCCTAACACTCTAGAATTCAAGATACAAAATGACTTAGCATGTATCCCTATTTATACTTGAGGGATTAGACCTAAAATCCTTATGGGCGAAGCCCTATAGCCCATAGGCCCATGAATGGTGTCAACCAATCACAATTCGACATGCAACATCTTCTGGAACATACATCCATGTCATACACCCCCATGAACATCAGTGACACACATGATGGAGCATCTTGAGCCATAGTGGTAGAACATGAACACTAGTGTCCCAACATCCATCATGGTGGCACAACATGGTGAATTCCTTGAGCATCACCAACTTCTGGGCATCATAGAGGACTTCATAGCATACGTGACTCATCAGAAATATCATGGCTCATCAAGAAACCAAGATGGCGCATCTTGCACCAAGATGGCACAACATGTATGATGTTGACCCATCTTATGCAAGGATGGTGCAACATCCTTCATCTTTGGCTCAACATCTCCCAAAGGTGGCGCAACTTCTCCTTAATGGCTCAATTTCACCATGTTGGTCCAATATCTTCACTTGGCACAACATCTTTACTTGGCTCAACATCTTCACTTGGCTCAACATGTTGGACGATGTTGCTCCAAGTTGCTCCAAGCCACTCCAAACCCCCTTTTAGAAGATTCGTTCCTTTGGCACATGATCCGTTCCTTTGTTAGATGATCCAAATCCATCTTAGATTATGCGTTCCTTTGTCACATGCTCCATGAACCTCAAGTGACCCACTAAGTTCTAAGTGCTCCAAATGATCGAGTCACATTTAACAATAT